CTTTCCTCCACTGGAAAGTTCAGGAGGCAAACCCAGAGCCCTCTGATTTCCTCATTGAAATCAAGATCAAGCCCACGGTGGGGCTTAGGCAGCCAGCAGCCGGAAGGTCACGTGGGTGACCTTCAAGCCCTCGGAACAGTCTCCCAAAGGAACTGAGATGACCAAGTGACCTGTAGAATTTGGAGGGTTGGAGAAGTGGCCCCCACACTTCTTACACATACCGCTCTAACCACCACCAACAGCAGCAGCAGCAGCAGCACCTGTACTGATAGCTTATGCTGCCAGTAACAGAACCAGGAGAAAGAGGTTCTCCACTCACAGTCACTTTAAGAAGATCTCATTCAAAACTCTTTTTCTACCTCATCATGCTTCTGGGTCACTGATAAACTCACAAACTCTTAACTCTCTTTCAACACCCTCTTCCAGCACAGAAGTCTGACCACAGCCAGGTATTAGGTTTTATTTCTCATACACAACATCTGTTCTCATCGGTTCTGTCACATGCATTTCATGCAAGAAGAGAATTCTTTGATTTCTATCCCTCTGCCTCGAAGAAAACCAGGTCCACCTCCTAAATAATTAATTTCAAGTCTGCATCCAGTGCCAATACTTGTTGCATCCATTTTAGAGTTTGATTAATTACCCTGGAACTTGGGCAAACTAAACTCCATGTGGAGAGAATGTTTCTTCTTTCAATTTAGTTCTGAAAGCTACAAGTTATTGATGGATCTTATTCTATTTACATACAAATTGGTGCAAATATGCCCATCTCTTAAAATGCATTTTGTATAAATATATAAAAGTGTCATTTTTGATTTAGCTTGAAGAGGTTGATCATTTATTACAAAAATAAACGAATAAATACAACAATATATTGTTGCTTTCAACAGGATAAATACTTTACAAATATATATAATTTAAAAAACAAATTTAATTGTTAAAATTATTTAAAATATTACACTTATCGATAAAACTATCAATAGTATATACTGCATTTAATATTAGAATCAATTACTCTCTGAATGTTGAAAACCATTCATACAAAACAGATTATGAGCATGGTAATGAGCAAACACTGGAGGCTATAGGGAAGCAGAGGGAATCTCTAAGATCAATAATGAACAGTTCTATTTTGGAACAAAGAAGTAGTCCTTGGCTAAATACTTAAAAAAAAAAAAAAAAGGCAGAGCAACAACAGCAAAGTGACTATTTTAAATACACCTTGAATGATTTATCACCCAGACTTGCAGGGGAAGACAGTTGGGTGAATGAGATGGCTGAAGCTTGGACAGTTGCTCAAGAGCCACAGGAGACTGCAAACTATAAATGGGCCTAGTTTGGGATTAGCCAGATTGATGGAACAGAACTTTGTCACTCTCCTTTGGGTTGGAAGGGGAGGAGGGAGTGGATTGAAATGGAGGAAACAAATGGGCACTTTACGAAGCACAAGACACTTGCGCTGCAAAGGAATACAATGACCAAATTCATTAAAAAGATCTGGTGATATATAACAATATTTTCATTATTTACATGTGTAACAATATAAGCCTTAGCACAAAACCTCTCAGTTATATCTGCCCTCCTTTGTTTTTCAACCATGAATTTTATTTTGTGAATACATTCAGAGTTGATTTTTTTTTTAAACTGCAAAATAAGAAAATAAAATGGGCTTGCTTTTCCAGCTTCTCCAATTAAAAGTTACTCTGCCACCCCTACATCAGGGCTTCTTCCAAAATGATCAGCAAGGTTGCTTTTTAATAAAAACAGTGTGAAATCTAATGTTAGTTCTTTTGTTATTAGCCAAATTAAGTAAGCAAATACCTCCTAAAATTTTAAATAGACCCATTCTGTCTAACAACCACTATCAGTCCTGTAGGGAAAACAGGATTTCATATCTTGTGCCAGTATATCCACCATATAAATACAACCACACCCAGTCCTCAGCTTTCCAATAAAGCCTTCTTTGCTTGCCCCTACAGACCCTCAAAAAATGAAGAAGTTTGTCCCCAACCCCCACTCCAGGTTGTAAATTCACGGGGCAGAAAGATTACAACAGCAAGAGAAATAGGAAACAAGAAGGCAAAGAAAAGTAAATTGTGGCTTGTAGTTTTCTTTTTTTTTTTTCCTTTCTCTCTGTTTAACAGATATGGCCTTTTTCAGATTTCACAAATCAAAATGATTGTGATTTTTAGTACAATTTGGTGTTTAAAATAATGCAACCCAATACATGGCCATCTGGCTGGGTTTGATTTATGAAAGTGACACAGGGTCTGTCTGGAAGAAATAACTGTTCCTTCTAGCTCTCACAGTTTTCCGGGTTTTTTAACCCCTGCATCGATATCATGGGGAGAGGGAGTGAAGATGAGAGAAGGCAAAAAGTGAGTGACAGCTAAATGATATTAGGGGGGACATTACTCTATAAAATCATTGCTTTATCACCCCCTAAATACGTTTTAAAATACAGTATGAAGGGATTCAACTAAGCTGAGTCTGAAGTACTTGCAACTTGAGACATTACACTTTCATTTTCCCACATTGTAAATATTGATACATTAACTTGATAAATGTGACCACTCTACAGGGTACAGCTAAAGAGTGATCAAAAAAGTTAACCACCCCCACCCCCCATCAGTAAAGAAGATATAGAATCACACAGAAATGGAGAATTTTAAGTCTGAGCTTGTAATCACACTGAGGGTAATGCAGTATGGACCATAATTAAGATTTTCAAACTACAATCTCTTACTACAACAGAACAAAAAACAAAAACAGCTTAATAATTTAAACTTAATTACATAGTTATCAATGGGCAATATTTGATATAAAAATATTTTATAGTCTTGTTAGCTACTCTCCACAACTTTTAGTCTTTAGAAAAAAAAAAGGAAAGAGACATAGTGATATGGTGGGGGGGGGCGGGACAAGAGGAAAAAGACAGGCTAAACTTTGGGGGCTTCTGTATTAACCATCAATAAACCAGTTGACACATAATTTTCTAGCGAAATAGTCCAATTTCCTGATAGAGATGATAAAGGACACAGGTATCTCCAAGAAAATGGCTATCATTTAGACAATCTCCCCTACAAACACACCAAAAAAAACCCCCCCCACTAAAATTAAGGGAGAGAAAAAATAGTGTGAAATGAACAGATTAACAAGGACTGACAACTGTGTGAAATGACTAGGGGCTCCTGTGATGTCAGTCATTTACTCTAGATTTCCACATATATCTTAGGTGGGGCAGGGTCTACGACCTCACCAGTATCACTTAAGGATCTGCATTAGTAAAAAAATATTTTCTAAAGAAATCTTTTCTTCCCACACAGTGTTTATGCATCAGACACAGACTATTTCATTCTAACAAATTTATTTTCTCGATCAGCTCTTACGGAATCACTACTCAAATTAAATTACAATCAAATGATCACATCAAAAGATACCCTTATTACCTAACAACTGTCCATATTTTCATTTCATTTTGATTTGTGCTCGTCTGAAAAAAACACGTAATACAAGATCTGGGGAAAAATAAATTACCGTTTTGCAGCAGTTCATAAGTATTCTGAATAAAATATTAAAAGAAGTCATTTAATGAAAATATAAAGCAAATATTTTTAGATCAACAACGGATCTAACAATTCTATATTGCCGTCTTTTGAAAAGTCTGTTTATTAAAACCTACCAAAAACACTGCTTGGAAATGGCAGTATTATATAATCACGTCCACAGCACCCATTCAATCAAAGTTGGCAACGGATTGAGGAGAGAAGTCCAGAGAAGTGCAGCGGCTGGTGCTTAGTCTTTCTAAATCCCTTTATCTGAGTCAGTCCAGAAATAAAAAATAAAAAATATTAATAAAAAAAATATTAGCGGCGGAATCTTTAGGCATAGTCCACTCCGAGTGACAGCCCCGAAAGCCTGGGCTGGTGGCCGGGCCTCCTCCGAGCCCATCCATTCCGCTTGCCCGCGCCTCCACTCTGCCAGGCCTCTCACTCCTCGGCAGACCGGCTTCCCTTGTCCCCCGCCCATCCCTCTGATCAGTCGCGATGCCTTTATTTCCAAGGTTACTCCGAGGAGACCTATTCTTTTCTTTTGGCTTTGCTCTTCAGTCTGTTAATTTCAGAAACTGTGACTATCTCTTTTTCCTTTTATTTTCTGGAGATTTCCTCTCCTTGCCATATCATAGTCAAATTGTCCCCAAATGACTTTCACAGGGCCAAGAAAAACAGGGTCCCCTGATTATAAACCCGGTGCCTCTAACTTTCTTGGAGGTCGCTCCCAGGAAGGAAAGTTTAGTTGGATAACTTCAGGCAGCCCTTTGGAGGGAGGGTGGGGGGTGGTGGCAGGGAGAGAGGGGCTTTTTCTCTTCTCTTCTCTTTTCTGCTCTCTCTCTCTTTTTTTTTTTTTAAGAGGCGAGGATGAGGCAGGTGCTGTCCACCGTCCCAAGTGGGACTTCTCGGGGTGGCAAAACGTCACGAGTGCAGTTTTGGTTCCTTAGGCATCTTGGCCCTTCTTTAAAAACAAAAACAAAAAACAAAAACAAAACACCACCACAGTAGAAACGAGATCTCCTGGTCGCCCCTCTCTTCCCTCTCTTGCGGTTCTGTCTGCTAGATACGCATAGAAAACAGTTTGGGTCTGGATGTGCGTGTGTGTGAGTTCTCCCCTCCTTCCTTGGAACTTCAAAAAAAAAAAAAAAAAAAACCACAGACGTCTCCGTGGGCCGTTTCTCTTCTTTCCCTCCAAGGGCGGGCGCGCCTGTCTTTGGCGGAGGGGAGGACGGCGGGCGGGCGGGCGGGCGGGCGGCCCCGGCCCGGTGCGGCCCCGGCGCGGGGTCACGGCGCGGGGTGATGGCGCGGGTCGGCGCGGGGTGATGGCGCGGGTCGGCGCGGGGTCGGCGGCGCGGGGTCGGCCGGGGTCGGCGCGGCGGGGGCGCTGGCGGTGCTGCGGGCGGCGGCTCAGGCGGCGGCGGCGGCCCTCCTCGCGCGGCGGCGCGGGCCTCACTGCACGCTGGTCTGCAGCCCGTGGTGCGGCGGCGGCGTGTCGGCGCTCACGTTGCCCACCTGCGAGTACACGTCGTCCGGCGTCTGCTGCTGGATCCCCGGGGGCGTCATGCGCTTCTCCTTCTGGCGCCGGTTGCAGAACCAGACCCGCACCACCTCCTTCTCGAGCTGCAGGCTGTCGGCCAGGTTGGTGATCTCCTGCGCCGACGGCTTGGGGCACTTGAGGAAGTGGCTCTCGAGCGCGCCCTTGACGCTCACCTCGATGGAGGTCCGCTTCTTGCGCTTGCGGCCCTGCGCCGCGATCTTGTCGATGCTGGTGGGGCTGCCGGTGCTCGAGTCCGCCTCCTCCAGCCACTTGTTCAGCAGCGGCTTGAGCTTGCACATGTTCTTGAAGCTCAGCTGCAGGGCCTCGAAGCGGCAGATGGTGGTCTGCGAGAACACGTTCCCGTACAGCGTGCCCAGCGCCAGCCCCACGTCGGCCTGCGTGAAGCCCAGCTTGATGCGCCGCTGCTTGAACTGCTTGGCGAACTGCTCCAGGTCGTCCGACGTCGGCGTGTCCTCGTCCGAGTGCGGGTCGTGGCTGTTGAGTCCGGGCCCGCGCCGCCGCCGCCGTGGTGCGGCGGGCCCTGCGCGTGGTGCGGGTGCGGCGGGTGCGGGTGCGCGTGGTGGTGGTGGTGGTGGTGGTGCTCGGCCAGCTCGGGCGTGTCCCCGCGCACCAGCCCCGGGTGCACCAGGCTCTGGGCGCCGCCGCCCGCGCCGCCGCCGCCGCCGCCGGGCCCCGGGGGCGCGCTCAGCATGCCGTTCACCGTGAAGCCCCCCGGCTGCGAGTACAGCAGGCCCTGCGGCGGCGGCTGCTGGCCCCCGGCCATGGACGGGAGGTGCGCGGCGGCGGCGGCGGCGGCGGCGGCGGCGGCGGCGGCTGCGGCGGCGCCCCAGCCCCCCGGGTGGCCCTGGTGCGGGGGCGGCGGCGGCGGCCCGAGGTGCGGCGGCCCGCGGTGGTGCAGCGCGGTGCCCGCGTGCAGGTCGTCGCGCCCCGCGCCGCCCTTCACGTCGGGGCCCTGCGGCGGCGGCGGCGGCTGCGGCGGCTGCTGCGGGCTGCCGGCCATGCCCACGGCGCTGCCCGACCAGGGCGAGCTCGCCTCCACCGCGGCGGCGGCGGCGGCGGCGGCGGCGGCGGCGGCGTGGGGCAGGGCCGTGACCCACTGGTGCGCGTGGCTCAGCATATGGCCGCCGTTGCTGGCGGCCATGGCCCCCTGCATGAAGTCGCTCTGCACCATCTTGACGGAGGCCGGGTCCCCGCGGTAGGCGCCCGAGGTCACGGCGGCGCTGCCCGGCTGCATGCCGCCCCCGCCGCCCCCCGCGCCGCCGCCGCCGCCGCCCCCGCCGCCGCCGCCGCCGCCGCCGGCCGCCGCCGCGTCCGAGTGCACAATGGAGCCGGCCGCCAGCAGGCTGCTCCCCGGCAGGTAGGGGTTAGAAGCCGCCGTGGCCATGCCGCTCCGCTCCCGCCACCCCACCGCCGCCACCACCGCCGCCGCCGCAGCAGCAGCCGCGGCCGCCGCCGCCGCCGCCGCCGCCGCGCCCCCCCGCCGCCCGCCGCCCGCCCCCGCCGCCCGCGCCCCGCCCGCAGCCCCCGCCCGCCCCGCCGCCGCCGCCGCCGCCGCCGCCGCCTCCTCCGCCCCCGCCGCCGCCGCCGCCGCCGCCGCCGCGGCCCCGGCTGCAGCCGCAAGGCCGCTCGGCGGTGCGCGGGGGTCGCCGGCCGGCCCGGGTCAGCAGCAGCCGCCGCCGCCGCCGCGGCAGGCGCAGCGCTCTGGGGACGGGGGCTCGCCGCGCGGGGAGCGCTCCGTGGCCGCCCCCTTCGGGGGGGTCGTGGCCGCCCCCCAGCCCAGGCGCGAGCCGCTCGCTCCAGCGGGGCTCCTCGGGCGGGGCGCGGGCCTCCCCGCCGGCCGCCGCGGCGGCTCCGGTCCTCCGGCGGGCGCGAACTCCGCCGGGCCGCGGGGCCCGGGCCACCTGCTAGGCGGGCACCCCGCGGGAGGCGACAGGGGACGACGCCGTCTCTCTCCGGCTCAGCCGAGCGCGCGTGCGGGCGGCCGGCCCGCCGCGGTCCCCGCGCTCCTCAGGTGCACGGCGGCGCTCGCCCTCGGCGCTGCAAACTTTCCCGTCCCGGAGGCGTGGCGGTGCCGGCTGGCGCGCGCGGAGCGGCGAGGCGAGGCGAGGCGAGGCGAGGCGAGGCGGCTCCGGTCTCCCCCGCAGGCCTCGCGCGGCAAGTTTGCTCTGTCCTAGGAAAACTTCTGGCGGCGGTGCATGTCGCGGCGGGCACTAGTGCCGGAGCTCGTGGGTGCCTCTGAAACAAGAGTCCGCGTTCACTCTCCTCGCCACAGGCACAGTCTGGTGCGACATCTTCCCTTGTGGGCAGAAACTGGGAGACACATAGAGCAAGGAAAACACTGAACAGGAGAAAAATGAGGTCGAATTGCTGTTACCTTGTTGCTGACGGTTGGGGCTGGTGTTTTATGTTTTTCTCGGCAGTTGTCTGGAGGAGGAGGAGGAAGCGGAGTGCTTTGGTGGAGGAGGAGGTGTGTGTGTGCATGTAGGGGCTCCTTGGGACACAACCGACCCCGGTGCGCGCGGCGCGGCTCGCGGAGGGCCCCGACGGCGTGGGCGCTGCCGTGCCCGGGCGGAGTTGCGGCGGGAGCTCGCTCTGCGCCCTCGTTGGCGCTCTCGCTCCCTCGCTCTCACTTTCCCTCGCCCTCCCTCTCTCCCTCGCGCGCTCGCCCGCCCGCCCGCTCTCCCTGCGATCTGACAGTTCGCTCCCGGTCCCTCCCTCTCAGAGCGGGGACTGTCGAATGTTTACCCTCCGCCGCGCGCGCGCACCCACCACCACACTTTCCCAAATACAAGGAAGTCGTGCACCGGGGCCCCCGCTGATTGGCTACCCGCTGCGTGATTGGCAGCCCCGGAATGACTGGCTCCGGACGCGCGGCCCCCTTCCGGCCGTTCCGATTGGTTGCTTTTTAATTTAGGCAGCGCGTCGTAGATGCTGGAAATCTGTCGTCCCCTCGCCACCGCCTCCTCCCTCCTCCTCCTCCTCCTCCCCCCCCCCCCCCCCGGCGCCGGTCTCCACTTTCTCCTCCCCGCCCCTCCCCCGCCGCCCTCCGCCACATCTTAACTCTTGACGTCCGGACGGGCTGCCGGCGTTCCTGCCGCGACTCCGGGCGTTCGCGACGGGTCTGGGAGGGGGAAGCCGAGGGAGCGGGCGGGAGGGAGGGAGGAGGGAACAGAGAGGGAGGAGGGAGAGAGGGACGGGCGGGAGAAAAGGGTGGGTGGGAGAGAATCAATAGGAAATGAAGAGATAAAAAAATCGTGAAAAATAGCAACGTACCTCGGCCCCTCGCCCCGCGCGGCGGCCGCCCGCCCCGGCCCCGGCCCCGGCCCGCGGGCCTGTGGAAGCGCGCGGTGTGGACGCGCCGCTCGCGCGGGTCCCCGGAGGCGGACGGGCGCCCAGGGCTCTCAAAGTTTCCTTTCCCCCCTCGCCGGCCGGCCCCCGGCTCCGTCCCGGCGGGGGCGGGCAGGGGGAGCCCGCGCCGCGCGAGGCTCGGGTCGCGGTCGCGCTCCCGGGAAATCCGCCGCCGCAACTTTCCGCAGCCGCCGCGCGCCGGCGGCGGCCCCCTTTGTTTAAGCGCTCGGATGCCATCGTCGGGGAGCCCCGCAGCCCGGGCCGGCGCGGCGCCCGCGCGCGCGAGACGGACGGCTGGTGCGCGGCGGCCCGCGCGCTCCCCACCCCCGCGCGCCCGGCCCTCCCGCCGCCCCCTGCGCCGGGGTTCCTGCGAGTCGCCGGCCGCCCGGGCGAGCGCGGAGGGTGCCGGGCGGCGGAGCCAGGACTTGTGTGTGAACGGCGGTCAGCCGACCCTTCCCCATAGACACATCGTAAGTGCACTCCGCCTCCATGGCTTCAGGAGTCCCCGCTGTAGCCGAGCCGGAACCCACTGGCCGTGCCCTCCACCGCTTACATTTGTGTGTGTGTGTGTGTGTTCGTGCGTGTGTGTGCACACGCGCGCGCGCGTGTAATTCATTCCAGTGGGGTTGTTATCAGTGGTGGGTTTTTGCTCGCTCGCTCTCCCCCGGCGCGGGGGTGCCCGTCCTTTCCCTGCTGTCTCAGAGGAGTTGCACAGCGGATGGGCTGGCGTGACAAACGGTTTCTCGGCGGAGCTCTGCCCGGCTGAAAGAGTTAAGGGGGACGGGAGGGGGTGGAAAGCGGGGGTAGGCGGGAGAAACGGGGGTGGGGGGGACGCGGCCAAGCGGAAACGCTGCACAGAGGAACCTCAGCGAACCAAGGAAAAAGAGAAAGTGGCAACGAAAACAAGGGCAAATTGAACCTTCCTTGGGATTTGCAATGAACTAACCCAACTCGGACATTCAATAAATACGTCTTTCCTAATGAGTGCGCGTCCGCGTGCACCCCGCACCCCCAGCTGCGGGGGCGCCGGCCCGGAGCCCGCCGCCCCCAGCCCGCCCCCGCCGCGGGCGCCGCGGCCCTGGACCTAGACGCGGAGCTGCCTGCGTGCCCGGGTTAAAACGCGAATCCGGCTGCCCTTCTCTCCCGATGAGTAATTTCTCTGCCGAGCGCAGTTAGGTGAACTCAGTTAACGCTCGAGTTCTGCAGCCCGGCCACAGCTACGCAGACTTTTCTTGATCTCAAGATTAACCGTAGACGGGTAGAATTTATGTAGGATCTCGTCCAGCTCCTGCTCTCCGGGTGAAAGCTACCATCGTAGGTAGGTTTTAGCAAAGCCATTATTGCCAAGGTGTAGATCTGAAGGCAGTGGTAATCGAGCTCCCCCCACCCCCAGGAACGGGATTTTTTTTTTTCTTCCGCGGGCCCCCCCCCTTGCAGGTTTCTTTTTTATATTTATGTATGCATATATGTATATATAAGAGATGGAACACAGATTTCATTGAATAAATCTGAGATCTCCAGGTGCAGACGTTTGAATAGTCGGTGCCAGCACCCCATGTTTTCCTTTCCTGCCGATTTTGCTTGGATCCGGCTCAAAAACCGAGAGAGTCTCGTGGTTTTGTTTACACTGAATGGGGAGCATAGGAACAGAGCCATGGGGCCGCCTTTCATTAATATACAGTGAGGATTTTGTCTAAATTACTGCTATGAATTTCACAGTACACGCTTTCAAAAGCAGTCTCAGGTGGCCCGATGAAACGTGATAGCGCCTCTGCAAACAGATCCACTTTCTTTCTCTCTTTTCACGGAGGGTGTGTGTGCGTACGGGAAGCCCCCCAAAATACTGGGCTCCTGTATAACAAAAGTACACTCAGGTCTGTCCCCTAAGTCATCCCTCTGTCTTCGTACTTAGTTCTGGAGTCTCTCTCCAACCTCCCCCCCACCCCACCGCACAGCCCCACCCCATCCGCTCCCTCCCTTTGGGGAGTGTGATTGTTTTGTCTGGAAAAAAAAATCCAAAGTATATAACAAGGGGAGAACAGTTAGTGCTGATTTTCATTTGCATACATTTTCATATATTTTGTTGAAAATAATAGACTAGTGGAGAGCTGGGCTTAGAGGAGTCAGTGTAAAGGGAAGGCTAAGGATGCATCGGTTCTGGAGAGTTGAGAATATGCCTTTCTCCCCAGTCACCTTATTTTAAAAAATAAAGCATCTTTTATTTTAAAATCTAACCCTGGAAGTGTGCTCGGTAAGTGGTTGTTTTTGTTTTTGTTTTTGTTTTTTAATTTTCTTTCCATGCTTTTTCTTTTCTTCCCCTCCTTTTGGGTTTATTTATGCTGTTGTAGGTTTGGGAGCTGATTTTCATTGCTGGAGACAAGAGAGGGTTCACAGAGCAACTGTTTGAAGGAAGGAAAGGAAAGTGTGTTGGGGGGAGAGTAAAGAAAAAAAAAAAAAGACCCTGCTAAAATCTTAACATAAAAGATGGACTCTTTCCAAAGCTCTCCCAAGCAAGACACTTTACTTTGGGGGGGGGGGAGGAGGGAGGAGTGGAAAAGTGCTGTTAATTTTAATTGTTGATCGTCAGGGAAGAAAGATCCTAGAAAAGAAGCGATTATAAAGCAGGCAGTACTATAAACATTTCTTGCTTTTTGGATTTTTTTCCCCTAGAGAATCAGGACTGGAGGGGACGAAACCCCCTTTTCTGTAGCCAATAGTGATGCGGTGGACTGAGTTTGTGCTTGCCTGGGGTTGGGGTGGAGGATTAGTGCTGGGCACAGTGGGCTGGAGTGAGAGAGGGGGGCTTGGTAAAGGGAGGGCAGTGAGCTGGAGAAGGAAGGGGGGGTGGGTGGAAAAAAGAGGTAGGAAGTCTGGGCACCCCCAGGTTAATGCTGTATCTGGGGAGCAGGCAGTCAGCTGCAGCCTCCCAGCTTGGTAGTGAAAGTCCATCAGAAAGAGGGTGATCAATCACAACTAACCAGGACATCCTACACTTTATTCCCAAAGGAGACTGGAGCTTTAGCATCAAAAACTGGA